TATGTAAGTTTTGAGGTTTTCACGGCGATTACTATTAAGAANAAGCAAGAGACCACTTCAAAAACTTTCGCGTTAACAGAAATGATAATATTACAGCGCATCTGAAGGAGATAATGTGGGAGCATCTGCACTGAGCTTATGTGGTTCAGGATAGAGACCTGTGGTAGTGTGGGAGCATCTGCACTGAGCTTATGTGGTTCAGGATAGAGACCTGTGGTAGTGTGGGAGCATCTGCACTGAGCTTATGTGGTTCAGGATAGAGACCTGTGGTAGTGTGGGAGCATCTGCACTGAGCTTATGTGGTTCAGGATAGAGACCTGTGGTAGTGTGGGAGCATCTGCACTGAGCTTATGTGGTTCAGGATAGAGACCTGTGGTAGTGTGGGAGCATCTGCACTGAGCTTATGTGGTTCAGGATAGAGACCTGTGGTGGTCTCTTATGAAAACCACAACGAAGCTTTGTGTTTGTGAACAGCGAAGAATTTATTAAGTAGCAGAAAGACTAAGCTCCTGAAGAAAGATTCTGCTCCAGGGACTTAGGTCTTTAGCTTAAGGGCATAGCAAGGCCGCGCCATAGCTCAAGCGGTTAGTCGCTGGCTTCCCTCCGCAGCGGCCCGGGTTGGATCCCGGGTGTGGTCAGAATTCGAGAATGTCCAGTCTAAGATAGTGATTCGTGAAATGGTGTAACAAGATATACTATAAAGGTGTAATAAATTCGATCATCAAATCCAAAACCTGTTTTATTAGTCACGCAAACACCTAATACGTGACAAAATGAAAGACACGTATTTAAACAAATAAGTATGATATTAAACAATATCCATGGCCCTCAACTGACTGATGCGTGCATGCAAGTCTCTATAAGGCAGATCAAGTTATAATTCAGAAATTGGTTACTGTGATTCGCGAGTCGTATTATAGTTTTTAAACCTCGAGTAATTTTGTTCGACATATTTTGAGTTCGAATAGCTGATTGTTACAAACGCAGTAAACGCTGCAGTAATATGAACCCTAATCGAACAACTAAGTGCACATGTACGTTACAAGATAAAATTTTATTTGTTTGTTTATTAGATTACGTAATGATTGCCAGTCGCATTACACGTCAGTTCCATTAGTTGGTTGTTCACATTGATCAGAGCTGGAAAATCAACTGCCAGCACGCAACTATATAAGGCAGTGCCACTGTTTGGCAAATAACCATCATTATTATATTTATGGAAACCATTTCACGTTGTGAAATATATACGGAAAGTAAAGATACAAAGTCCAGAAAATATTTGTAAAGCATTTCTTTTGGAGGGATTCACTTGTAGCACTTTTACAACATACCTTTATTAGTACTCAACATATTCAAGACGAATCGTAATGCATTTAGTGATCCTGGGAAAGAGCTTTTTAAATTCCAGCATCGTAGAAATCTCATTCATTCATTCATTCATTCATTCATTCACTGTTGGAGGAGGTGGGTTTCCCCATGCACTTAGACCAGTTATTGGTCCATTGTGCATCCCCCTTTAATTTCTACTGTCTCCATACCCTACCGGTACTGGTGCCCGTTATCAGCCCCTTTCTGCCAGCGAGGTCGGCCCTCTACTGGCAGTGGTATCTGATAATTAGTCCCTTTCTGTCAGCGAGGTCGGTCCTCATCTGGCAGTGGTACGTAATACTTTCCCCATCTAACGGAGGCCTTGGAAACTACTTGGGCGGGAAAAATTGCCTAATTTAGCTCAGAGGTCTATTAGAGACATGAGGTTCTTTTACGTGCCGTAAATCTACGACACGGGACCCACGGCTTAAAGTCCCTCCCGAGGACTTGTTCCCTGAATTTTTTCCTCCCTTAAAAATTCCGCCGGGTTTGAACCCGCGTACCTTGAGTCATGAGGTGGGAACGTTACCCCTAGACTACGGAGGCTGCTCTCTTAGACATGGAGAACGATTCTTGACACTTCTGGACATTGTTGATGAAGTTCATAGATTGTTAAACGTCTGTCAGCATGAATATTTTCATAAGTTTTTTGGATTATTTCATCAGTGACACCGGATGGCCTTCCACTCCTTATGTCCTCACGAATATCACTTTTCCCGGCTTCAAACTCACATCATTTTGCCACGTTTGTCTGTTCATAACATCTTCGCCATAAACAGAAACAAGCTGGAAATGAAGTTCAGTAGCAGTTTTCCTTTTCGCGTGAAGAAATCAAATTACTGGCGAACCTCACATTTGGCCGGATTTTGAATCGATACGGCCATTTTAAGCACACACTGCGAGCACACCGTTGCCGTGATTGTGGCCGGTGAACTCTCCCCTGTCATACGGTTCCTATCACAAGGCAGCAATGCCATTTCTTAAAAAAAAATCCTTGCATTTTTTACTAGGCACTTGTAACACTTGTAACCAAGAAACTCAAGAAGGATGAAATGAATGGGACACGCGTATGCAAGAAGGAAATTAAAACTGAAGAAGCAGTTTATTTTAAAAGGTGAAGGAAAGAGACGTTTAGGAAAATTGGCTGTAGACTGAAGTATACTGTTATAAGGGCCTTAAGTTAAATAGGACGGGAGAATGTGAACGTTGTTTAACTGTCTCAAAATGGTGAACAGTGACGGGCTCTTATGGAAACGGTAATGAATCTTCAGGTTCCGTAAAATTCGGGGAATTTCTTGATTGTCCGAGTGGTTACCATCTTTTCAAGGTCTTTGACCCACGGAATTAATTCGTTATGGAAACTGTCTTGGTTCAGTGAATTTGTAACTTGTAATCAATGTAGAAATTATGTTGGCTTTGAGGCTTTTACAGCGTTGACTGTGAAGTCCTTTCTTCTGTGGTATTATTCGTTTGTTCTGGAGAAAATCAATCGAAGTTTCACATCGACATATCGCCCCCACTTTTTTATTCGAAGAGTAGGCGGTTTGATTGCTACTTGCTTCGTTTTGGTTTGCTGCTTGGCTGATTCCTGTACCCTAAAGATGGAGGCGGTATGTTGCTCCGAAAAATAGGTTGAATTTCACCGCACTAAGCTACATTATATCTTCAGTGTATAATCCTTTTTAAATTGTATATTTTTATTCGTTCTTTGCACAAAATACTCGTACATGAAATGTATATCATATTTGTACACAATTCGGTACCTGAGGAGTCTGCTCGACAGATTCTGTATTAGTTCACAGCAGACTTCACATGACATCCAGAGTGGACTTAAGAAAGAGAGTAAATTAGTGCATGGCATAATATAGAACGCATTAATTTCCTCATCCTCTATTCAACACTTTGAAGCATGAAGAGAGACAGAGAAAGGAGATAAAGTAGAGGGGACAGTAGCAAGTGACACTACTTTTTAAGGTTCAAAACAGAAAACTTTTGGAAGTTCCCAGGCAGTACCCATTTGTCCTTCTGGTAAAGGTATGTTGGAGAGAACGTAACATGTTAGGAAGTGAAGAAGGTCAAGTACTGAAAAGTGGACTTTATTAGGTGCAAGGAGATAAATTAAGCAAATTCTTTGCTATGTTTCATATGACCGCTGGCAAAGCTGCATGTCACACATGCTATGTAAGATGAAGTTTTGGTACCAGCTCAGAATTTGGTCAAGGACCAGGGACAATCACAGAAAAACTTGATCAAATTGGTTGGCTGCAAGTCCTTCTGAATGCAAAGCGACTTCTGGCCAGCAGCTCAACATTTAAACAACTCCTACCTGTGCTGATGCCTTACTTTGAAATTTCTACAAATTTGGCTTATAAAGGTTTGCTTCATGCATGTTCTTAGGATAAGTACTGAACAGATGAGACTGAACGTGTATGAATCCCTAGGATATTGATACACCACAATGCTGAGTGGTGGTGATACAAGAATAGTCACACACCTGTAAGAGAGCAGTTTGTGTGGGGATAATATGGATACAAGAGGAAGAGTGTGTTAAACACATTCAGAAAGAAATGGGTGCAGTTCTGCAGAACCTAATATTAGGTAAAGGAAATGTGGAGAATGGAACCTTTTGAAGTTGTAGAAAATACGTTAACCCCATGACATGAGCTGTCCAGTAAGACAGACATTTCAATGTTCTTAAAATTTGAAGAAAGTCGTCTTCTGGGTTTAGGCACCGTGTATTCTTCGTTTTGGCCGACGTTTCGGAGGAACGTAGCGCCTCCATCTTCAGAGCAGTAGAATGGCTTGGAATGCGGAGAGCAGTAGCGCTACGTTCCTCCGAAACGTCGGCCAAAACGAAGAATACACGGTGCCTAAACCCAGAAGACGACTTTCTTCATTGTCATCGTCGTGAAAACCTCAAAACTTACAAAAATTTCTTAAAATTTGTTTAAATAAAACAGCTGGAGCTAGTTTATGGGCCAAATGAAGTTATATATAACAAATTCCTTCATAATACTAAAGATCAATTCATTTGGAGTATTTTAATAAAGTAATAACTCTAAAATTGACCAAGTTACATGTATATAACATAATTTAAGTATTACATTTTTGGGTCAGATGGTCTCCCAAATTGGGCACAAAAAACATTATCATGAATTGTTTAAAAAAATGAAATTCTCCTATAATGCTTATAATTAAATTATAATTATAAATAAATTATAATTAAAAATTACAGGCTCTTTTAAATTTCACTATGTTCCTCCCTTATCCTATTCTTCGAGACAAAAACTTATTTCCTACACTTGATGTTATAAAATTTCCTTTTATTTATATTTCACATCTTTTGTTTGTCCCATATTGATGTTGAAGATGTCCATGTTATAAAGATTTTGAACATTAGATGTGTAAGTTCTTATTTGATTATGAGTGATTAGTTACTTCTTGACAGCAGCCATGATATGACATACAAAACACTTCATAGCAAAGCAAACATGTATAAACATGCTAGTTTGTTAATATGAGTACCACAAATCCACAGGCCACCAAGGTGATTCTGATACATGTAATATGTTACATGACAACACTGATATCCTTAAGTATTATAGTATATACTTTTGCTATTTATTTTTCAGGGCAATGCCGCCAGTAGTGAAGCGGCACGTTCCAGAATCAAAACCGGGAGAACCAGTGGAGGGGTCTGAACATGGCACAGAAACTGGATACCACTCCTTGGTTCACAGTCCTGGGACAGAGCCGTCATCATTTATTGGTAATATCAATTTTACATTAATTCTTGAGAATATGTGAGTCTATATCCAGTCATTTTCTTAGGTTAGTCGACATCTGAATATTTATCCTCCTTTCCTTATTTATAGTATGTATCTTGGTGTCATCATATCCTTACGCGTGCATGTATGTATTTTCCTATTGATAACTTCTGAAGGTGTCAACCATTTATGATGAAACATAATACAAACATTTATGATATGTTTGTGGATACATGTTTACATCCCCTCGTTTTACTTTCAGGTTCTTCCCCATCCCTTAATATCTTCTGTATCAATTAGATTATTTTCACGAAATTTGGGCCATGTACATAGTAGTTTGGTGGACAGACACCAAGATGTTGGAGAACATGCTGCCTCTGTATTTAGGGTACACACAAGGCTTTCAATTCTTCACCATCAATGGTATCTGCATGGCTGTCTTGCAAACTTTTGAAGTGTCAGCAACACTACTAATTATTCATTATATAACTTTTGAAATATTGAGTCACTATAGAAATGCAGACAGTGTTAAGAAAAATATCTTGATGAGCCATTACAGTTTTTATTCGAAATTTCACATCATGAGATGCTACAAAAATGTTTACATGTTTTTATGTTTGTTGAAAAGTATAATAATTATTATCTCACATACCTTTGAGGTTAAATATAACAGATTCCATGTGTTCAGAATAATACAAGCAGAAGTGGTGCACAAGAATATGTACATAAACATACAGCTGTTAAATTTGGCTTTCCCTGAAATTACAGAAAGGAAATGGGCACCATACATTCTCCCTGCTATCTATATATCAGACAATGGTCAGGAAGTACCATACAATTTCCACATTCAGCCACTTTGATTCAAACTCTTGATCTCTGTAAATCATAATAAGTCTTGTGAAGTACTTAATAAATAGTATAACTTCTAGACAGACAAATTTGTGTGAGAATATTTTCATTATATTTCAAGAAATAGTAAAATATTGATACTGCTATGTGACTCAAATAACTTTAGCTTTTATAATTTCTGTTTGGAGATTATCTAACCCCATGAATTCTGTTCAAAAAGTATGTATTGCGGTACATTCATGCTCGGTTTTAGGCTCAGACCGCCGAGAGGTAAATGAACAGTTTCCTTTTGCTAACAATTCCAGAGATATACAGGAAACAAGGAGAAGTTTTGTAGCATTATATGTATGTCGTTCATAGTATGCAAAATGTTTTTGTTTCTTCTTCTAAGAAATTTCTTTATTTTGTATTAAATGTATGGTCTCAGCTTCAGTTAACTCAGTGTTACATTTACTCCAATTAAAATTCTTTTTTTTTTTTTTTTTTTTTNTTTTTTTTTTTTTTTTTCAGATTTACTGATCCCAGATAAATCATAAGTGACTGTCTGACTACCAACTGATCTTATTCAGTAACCTATTGCAATTTTTATTTGCGTTACACTTGTGCATTCATTCTCATGTTTAATCACTCATACTTTCATTAATTATACAATTAATACATTAAATGCAGCAGTCCTAATAGTGTTATAAGTTGATCAGCTAAAAGATTCTGAAAGCAATGCATAAAGAGAGTGCATCTTCATTGACAGAAGGTGGCTCAGTGACCCCAGTCTCAGAGGAGCCCGATACAGGCACAGCTGTACCACCCAAGAGCACTGCTGAGGAACTTGGCGAACGACTCATGGAGACTGCTGATACTATGGCCCATGATATGGGAATCCCAACAGCAGCTCTAATTGCCATCATTGTTGGTAAGTATATTTTTACTTTTAGCTGGAAAAACGTAAATGAATATTAATCACTATCATTATCAATATACTGTATGCAAACCCAAGCTTGGGGTAAAACTGATGATGCAAAGGACAGTTTATAAGTGAACTTGAGTATAAAAATTTTATTAGGGGTTTTCAGTTCTAAATCAAGAGTTAGGAATGAGAGTTTACATCAAACTAGTAGTGATAATGGGCTTAGAATACTAAACATGTGAGGAAATTCAACTGTCAAGAGTAAAATATCAGGATATTGCAATATACTTAAATGCTTTTGGACACCTCTTGATGGGAAAACATGCAGATGGTTCACATCTTCACACATTATAACAAAAATAACATGAATATCAGAGACTTTTCCAAGGCATAAATGAATTCAAAGAATGGTTACCAACTTAAAGCTAACTTAGCAAATGATGAGAATGGTGATCTGCTCTGAGATGATGACTGTCTGATTATGTATGTATATTTATATGTTATATTGTATTATTGACTTGTTCTATATCTGAGGCAGATGCCTCTATGGATTTTTTGGAACTATAAATAAATGACAAATGACAAATGTATGTCAACTTCTGAAGTTGTGTACAGTTAATGATAATGTCAGTTCAGCTCTTGGGTATTTGACTGTGTGGATGTGGGAAGTGCTTCTGATGCTTTGGTAGTACATGCTGCCAATGCGAAAGTCCCAAGAGCTGAATCGCTATCAACTGCGGAACACCATGAAAGTCTAAAATTAGTAATGTGGTCAATAATGTTAAATAGACTGAAACACATGCAGCTGAACCAGTATTACCAGTGCCTAGTCATGGTGAGACTAATACTGTTACTGGAAAGTCGCCACATACTGATAAAATTCAGACACAATATATGGAAGCAGGAAGCGAAAAATGATGTTCTGAGATCCGTGACTTAGCAGCAGAAGGAGTCTTATTATAAAAGTCTATATCAAAGATGATAACTAAGTAATGATGTATGAGTGACAAGGTGCAGGTGTAATTCTACAGTACATAAGAAATATGCCTATGAGTACAGGCAGTGCCAAGCATTTTTCCCAGGGTAGGCATTCAGAAAATTTGCCTGCAACATTTATGTTATTTAAGATTTTTTGTTGTTGATTGCATTAGAGTATCCATAAGAGAAGAGTACATTTTTTGACAAGAAGTTCTGGGAAGAATTAATCGCACTTTCCTTTGATATGACATGGACCATGAAGAAAGTGAAAAAAATTAGGAAGGTACATATAGACATGCAGACAGCAAGGTGATGTCATAAGCCTCCTTGATACAATAAAGCCTGCATAAAGAAAAATAGGGAGGGGGCACAGACAGCAAAGTGATCTCATAAGCTTCCTTATATTTTTAAAGATGAGGGAAGTAGAGTAAAAATAGTTTTAATTTTTGGTATTAATATATTTTATATTTCCTCTTTTTTTCAATTATGATTTGTTTCCATGAATCTGAGGGGCAATTTCCTGGCCGTGTCACCACTGCAATAAAATCTTTCTGATAAAGCCTTTACTTAGCTTCCCAAAATCCTCAACATTTTCCGGAGGAGTTTGATTTCAAAACACTAGCAACTTAAAAATTTCATCCTGGAGTTTCTTCGAGCAAGTGTCTGATTCCCTTATACAGAACTGCTTGTATTCTAATTAAATTTTTTTAATGTTCTTACTTTACCAAAGTGTTAAGTTGAAATATATTAAAATTTTATTAATATTTTGGTCAAATAACTTTAAAAGATTCCCCATGTACCTAACCTTTCCTCGAATATTTTCTGATATTTCAGTGCAGTACGCATGACTCTTTCATTTCTCTCGAAAGAAACAGAAGCTATTATATCACAAGAAGGAAGTTGAGCTTTCTCCATCAGAAAACATATTTGCTGACATAAATTTCATAAGGATTTGTTGGAAATCATACTTCGTCATATGAACAGCTCTCCTGTGTGTTGCACCCATGATGGTCCCTTTGTTTCATCGCTTCTGTGCCAATCGTTTGAATAACCAGCCGGACCATTGTATAGCGAGGAGCTATAGGTTCCCTTATGCCTCTGTGTATCACGGATGGATTTGAAGGCATGCGGTTAGAGAACCACGTAGTTCGGACTTTGTCAGTACATGCATGAGAACCACCAGTCATTACCCAGTAGGAAGGAGGTGAGAGAGGGGGGACGATATAAGAATTATCTGGGGAGTGGCATTAAGAAAAGAATCCCAGAAATGGAAGTCGAGGTCCAGCCAGTCAGGGCCACTCTACTGACCGAGCTCTTCCGACATAGACAATGAAAGGGAGTAATCGTAGGGGCAGGAGACAGAAGCCCATGTCGGCTGCACATTATGCCCTCTTGTGGTTGCGCTAAAATTCTTTATCGTTTGCTGGGGTTACGAGTACATTTAATTAAATAAATTACCTTAAATATCTGTGAATGACGTATGAGGAGAAATGTGTGTGAAGGTGGCCGGAACCTGTTTAAGTATGCCATTCTTTTGGAGTTGTCCTGAGGGACTAAAGAAAACCACAGAACTCCGGGACAGGATTAGCAATTTCCTAGTGAGTATAGAATAAAAAAATACCTGATAGGAGAATTGGCCTTTACGCTATGCCAAACCGCTCGCCTTATGCCAGTAAGGATCGCGGATACCAGAACTGAAACATTTGCTCCATTTGCATACTTCTACGTGTCTTGATGAAATTGATCAAGGAAATTTTTGTAAGCTTTGAACCTGAAACCTCATAAATACTATTGGCATGTTATATTAATTTTTTTAATTCGCACAGTGGTTGTGGAGTCCATTTGGTCCACTCGGCAAGGCGGCCACTGATCGGCCTATTGTACCTGCCCCGGGTGATTATTATGGTGGAGAATTTGGTGGAATGAAGATTGGCAAGGGAACCGAAGTACTCGGAGAAAACCTACCCCAGGACCACTTTGTCCACCACAAATCCCACTTGACCAGACCGGATTTGAACCCGGGTCGCCACGGTGGGAAGCCAGTAACTAACCGCTTGTTCTATGGCGCGGCCTCGTGTTATATTAATAGTCTGCAGTACTGCATTATGTTTGGAGATGGTACATGGATGCTAGTGGCCCTTGAGACAGAGTTACATCCTGACATCGTCAGAGAAATAGGATGTACTGTAAGTCTGTCTGAGAAGCTAGCTACCAGTGCACACCAGCAAAGCATAACCATTGATACATTATCCACGGGTCATTCCATGTGAAATCATCCAGAAAGGTCGCTCACCATTAAAAAAAAAAATAAAAATTTGTACACTTATTTCTACATATTTTCACACCCCAAAAAATGTTTAAAAACTTGTGATCCGCTCGGTTCTCCCGGTACAGCCGTTTTTATAATGCGAAAACACGCGTTTTCGGCTCAAATGGAGGTTTTGCGTTATCCTCTGTATCTCGATAACTATTGAAGCTAGAGACT